CATGACCCCTGTAACTCTTGCATTCTGCATGTCTGCAAAACTAGCATCAGCACTTGGGAGGCAGAAGCAGGAGGATTAAAAGTTTGAGACCAACTTGGCCTAAGAGTTTCAAGCCATTCCAGACAACAGTGAAATTCTGTCTCAAGAAAAAGAAAAGAGAGACAGGCAAGTGGGCTTGCACCTGTAATCCTACTGCTTGTATGGTAGAGATTGGGAGTACCATGGTTTCAGGCCAGCCCAGGCAGGAAGTTAGCAACACCCCATCTCAACAGAAAAGCTGCCTGTGGTAGTATATAATCCTAACCACATGGGATATGCAAGTAGGAGGATTGTGGTCCATACTGCTCCAGCCCAAAAACAAAAAGCAAAACAGCAAAAAAAAAGGGTGTATGTGTGAAGGTGTGGTATAGCACCTGCCTAACAAGTATAAGTTCTTGAGTTCAACCCTAGTATTGCCCCTCAAAACAAACATATAGGGGCTAGGAAGGTGTCTCAGTGGTAGAGCTCTTGCCTTGCATGCATGAGGCCCTGGGTTCGATTCCTCAGTACTACATAAACAAAAAGTAAAAAGCCGGAAGTGGCGCTGTGGCTCAAGTGGTAGAGCGCTAGCCTTGAGCTGAAGAGCTGAGGGACAACGCCTAGGCCCAGAGTTCAGGCCCCACAACCGGACCCCCCCCCCAAAAAAAAATCAAAACAAACATATAACCCAGAAGCTCTAGTATCTGTTCTGCTAGTTGATGCTGTACCTTGATCTACTTGAGTTATGGCTGCAGTGGTTTCTGAGTACCTTTCTGGCCTAGGCAGTGCTATGCCAGAAGTCACCTGGGGTCTTTCTTTTGAGAAGACTGTCCCTCTTCTTATTCACCATCAAACAAGTGGCGGGGGAAGTAGTTTGATGGTGATGTATTAGTCTCTGAAGGAAAAGGCATTGATCCCCAGCTTCAGGGAAGCAAACAAATAACTAGAGGGGTAGCAAGGCATAAGTTATTTAACATGTATGATTGTAAGCAAGCCTACAGAATAGCTCAAAATGTCCTAATTAAGTCTCTCATACTTGGAATATCTGTCCTCATTTAAGTAATAAAATATAACTCTAATGCAGATTATCAGTCTCTCTTGTTTGACTGGTAATGTTAAAAGTTTTTTTAAAGTCTTCTAATGAAGTTAATTGCCTATTTGTTCATTTTATTATGTCAATATTTTTATTTTAAGAAGTTAGATTTTTGTAAGTTTCTTGGTAAGCTGCAAGTATAATTTATTTTAGCTAAAAAGATACTACTGATGACTATAAGCCATGCTACTTAAGAAAGGAATTTAAAAGGAGGAAGTTACTTTTTTGTGCTTATTAGTTTCTTAGGATTGTTAGCAGAAGGAGGACTATCCTCCCCTTCTTCCTCTCTCTCCCTGTGCTAATCCAATCCCAGGCTTCATGCACGCTACGCAGGTTACATCCACAGTCCCTATTACCACAGTTTAAAAATTTTATTCTTTTACTGTTCTAGGGCTTGAAATCAGGGCCTTCTGCTTGCTCTGCTGGTACTCTTCCACTTGAAACATGCCTCTAGCCCTGTTTTTTGGGGATGGAATCTAGTGAACCTTTTTGCCCAGGCTGGCTTCAAACTGAATTGTGATCCTCAGATCTCAACCTCCTCAGGCTTAGCCTGCTTTTTTTTGAAGGTTGAGTTTATGCGAAATAACATTTTCATCGAAATGACCATTTACCCCCTTTTGGACGTAAGTATTTGTCCATTTGTATCACAATAGAAAAAATACAGGTATCCCATGTATTGTCCCCAGTCTTGGTATTTTACGTGCTGTGGGGGCTGTCTGAAATTTTCATGCTGTCAAAACAATGTATGTGTTATCCTGACCTGGAGAAGAGAATCTTCTCCAAATCTGCTACCCTCTTAGGAACATTTCTCTTTCTCCTATAAAAAGGAAAGGTGGTGTCAAGAGGTGGGCCTTCCATTTGATTGCTCTTTGACAGTTTCTGTTACCAAGTCAGTATTGTCCCCACTTATGGGCAAAATGAACTTCCCGACACTGCTTACTATTCCTTTTTCTTCATGAAATACATTGAAACTGCAAACTTCCCTTCTTGGCTTTTCATCCCTTTACCTACCCAACAAATGTTGAAATTGTCTTCTTTTTTTTTTTTTTTGGTCGGTCGTGGGGCTTGAACTCTGGGCCTGGGTGCTATCCCTCAGCTCTTCAGCTCAAGGCCAATGCTCTACCACTTAAGCCACAGCACCACTTCCAAAATTGTCTTCTTTTAATTTTTATTTGTTAACATCTGTTCAAGTGGTCTAACAACAGAAAATAAATCTGAATGAAAATGTTTAAAAAGCTGCAGATGTTTTCTGTCCTTTGTTCTCATTTTATGATCTAAAGATTTATAAGATCATATTCTTCTTTTTTGTTTTTGCTATCTGGTCCTGGGTTTGAACTCAGGGCCTGGGTGCTGTCCCTAAGCCTTTTCTTTTGCTCAAGGCTAGCAATCTACCACTTGAGCCACAGGGCCACTTCTGGGTTTTGTGTGGTTAATTGGGGTCTTGTAAGAGTCTCATGATGCCTGCTGGCTTTGAACAGCGATCCTCAGATCTCAGCCTCCTGAGTAGCTAGGCTTATAGGCATGAGTCACCAGCACCTGGCTTGTATTAGTTATATAGCAGGAAATTTCAATGTTATAATTAAAATTATGTTTTAATAATTGTATTTAAATAATATAATTAAAAATAATATAATTAGTAAGTAATATAATTAAAATTTAAATAATACATTATATTCTTTAGTTACATATTTGTCCTCAAGGAAACTGTGCTTGCCAATCTCATAATGTAGAACACTGGTTGTTACCCAAGGATGATGCTTTGCTCAGGCCATATCTGTAGCCCGTTTTTGCTTTATGTTTTGGATAGGGTCTCATGATTTTTGCTCAGGGCTGGCTTTGGACAACAGTCTTCCCATGTGTAATCACTCTGCCAGCTTACATCCTATTCCAATTGCTATTAATTTTGAAAATTTTAGACATTTCACTTCTTTTGCTTATTTTCCCTTGTATTTCCAGCATTTGCATAATGTTCATTTAGCTTAACCAATCTTTATGATTTATGAGCATGTAAATATTCTTCCCATACTTTTTCTCCTCCCTCTTTTCCCTTCCTTTCCCATTCCTTCTGTTCCTGTCTCCTCCCCCCTCCCCCCACCCTCCCGTTTGTGTTACTTCAGTGAGCTAGGTATAAGCACATGGAAACTTCTGTGAGAGCTGTGGATGTGCTTGCTGACTTGCAGTATAGTTATCTGTGCTGACTCCTAATGTTATTTTTTTCTGCTTCAGTAGTATGTCCGAGTAAAATATATATAAAAACTCTTCCAGCAAGCAGATCAGAGATTTGACAGGATAATGTGGAAATACTATATGCTTTCAGAGAAGTCTTCCTAAGTGGCATTAGCCTAAAATGAGTAGCAAGGATAATGTTTTCATCAGAGCAAGTTTCTTAAATGTAGAGAATATAAAGTTGCAGGGCTAGGCCATAGCTTAAATGGTAGAGCATCTAACTAAAAAATGTGAGGCTTAACATTCAAACCCCAGTACCACTTAAAAAGAAAAGAAGAGGAAAAAGAAAAAAAGAGTTATACACTGTTTAGAAAATAGTAATTTCTTCTTTTGAGTGCCAATACTGGGGCTCAGCATCTGGGCCCCTTAGGGGCCAACAACCTTAGGGTTGTTTTTTTGTTTTTTTTGCTCAAGGCTGGCATTATATCATTTGAACCACAGCTTCATTTCTAGCTTTTATGGTGGTTAATTGGAGATAAATAAGTATACCATGGACTTTCCTACCTGGACTAGCTGTTTAGCTTTTCCTTTTTTTCAGAGTTGAAGACTGAACTCAGGGCCTTGCACTTTCTAGGCAAGTGCTCTAACACTGAGCTAAATCCTCAACCCCCTGTGCTGGCTTTGAACTACCATTCTCAGATTGTAGTAGGATTACAAGTTTGTGAGGCACCTGCACCTAGCCAAAAATTGTAACTTTTTTTGTTGTTGGTTGTGGGGCTTGAACTCCAGGTGTAGGTGATGTTCCTCAGCTCTTTAGCTCAAGTGGTAGAGCATTAGCCACTTCTGGTTTTCTGATGGTTTATTGGAGATAAGAGTCTCATGGACTTTTCTGCCCAGGCTGGCTTTGAACCTGGATGCTCAGATCTCATCATCCCAAGGAACTAGGATTAAAGACGTGAGCCACTGGCACCTGGCCAAAAGTTGTAACTTTTGATCAGTGTGTTAGCTTTTTAATTTTACTATTTTATTTTGCTTTCAGTTATTTTTTTCTTTGAGTTGTAGTTTGTAATCAAAGAACATGCTCTTCTCATTTACTACTTTATATATATAAGCATATTTATATAAGTATATATATATAAGTATATATATATAAGTATATATATATACTTATATATATATATATATATATATGAGGCATTATTTTTGCCTTTTTGCCTTTTGCTGTTTTGTGATCTGTTTAGAGAAATGGTATTTTATATTTTAAATGATATTTTATATTTTGTAAGCACCCTGTAATACTTATAATTTGAATAATCGATTCTCCCGCACAATTTGGAGCTCTAGTGAAATTTTCAAGTTGGCAAGAGTAAGTTTAAAAGTGCTGGTAATAAGCATTTCTACCTTAGTTTTCTCTAAACAAATGTTTTTAGAAATAGATTTTGTAAATAGAAATAGATATCTAAAATTAAACTCAAAGATATGACCAAAGGTAAGTGCTACCAGATCTCAAGTCCATGAATTTGTAGGCTTTTAAATTACCTCTTCTTCTATAGAAGTTCCTTGTTTTTAAATTTTAGCTAGACTTTAGAGCAGTTTTAATAAATAGTAATAATTACATCCTGAAATAAATGTGTATTATTTTTAGGTTCTCACATGCAGTGATTGCTGTGATGGTAAGTGATGTGATAACTTACATTTATTCATATTTTTTCTCTTTCAACAGGGGAAAATGCAGTGTTGCTCTACTGAATGAGACAGAATCAGTACTGTCATATCTTGAAAAAGAGGTAATCATAGTAATTCTTGTTTTGTATTTTTTCCTCTACATTTGAATTTCCATCTTTTGCCCCATTATAGCAGTGCTACGGTAGAAGTATGACGAGTAGGATGCATTTCGTTAACTATCCTCCTGGGTGAGGTTAGAGTTACCAAAAATTATCTGTTTTTAAATCAGCAGTGTAAGGCTTTATAAAGTACTACACATTACTTAGATAATTTTTTTTTTTTTTTTGTCGGTCATGGGGTTTGAACTCTGGGCCTGGGCTCTGTCCCTCAGCTCTTTAGCTCAAGGCCAGCACTCTACCACTTGAAGCCACAGCACTACTTCTGGTTTTCTGAGGTGTTTATTGGAGTAAGAGTCTCACTGACTTTCTTGCCTGGGCTGGCTTTGAACCACGATCCTCAGATCTCAGCCTCCTGAGTAGCTAGGCTTATAGGCATAAGCCACCGGCACCTGGCTACTTAGATACATATTTTTGTTTTGGTAAAATAATTATTTGGCATATTATTTAGGTACCTGCACCTATTTTTATTTTTAAAATTAAATGGCTTTTCTGTAAGGCTCTTACCAGAGGAATTATTTTTGCCGTTGTTGATTTTTATTTTCTATAATCCTAATGAAGTTTGTCAGTTAAAAGTACTTCTTTCACAAAATATCAGCAAAAACATATTGAATAGCTAGCATTTGGGTGAGATCCTGTAATCTCAGTGCTCCTAAAGCAGAGGCAGTTGATTTTTTTTTTTGGGGGTGGGGGGTCCAGTCGTGGGGCCTGAACTCTGGGCCTGGGTGCTGTCCCTCAGCTCTTCAGCTCAAGGCTAGCGCTCTACCACTTGAGACACAGTGCCACTTCCGGCTTTTTTCTTTTTGCTTATGTGGTGCTGAGGAATCGAATCCAGGGCCTCATGCATGCAAGGCACGCACTCTACCACTGAGCCAGCCCCGAGGCAGTTGATTTTTGAGTTTCAGGTTAAACTACATAGCATACTACATAGTAAGTTCCAGGCCATCGTAGGGTATATAACAAGAGCACATCTTACATAAATACACACACACACACACACACACACACACACAAATGGGGAAAAATATTTAGAGTATATCTTATTGGAGGGAGGAAATTCTTACAAACAGAATATGCATAATTTCAGACAACTTTAAACAATTACATCAAGAAGCTGGGCACTGGTAGCTCATGCCTGTAATCCTAGCTACTCAGGAGCCTGAGATCTGAGGATTAAAGTCAAAGCCAACCTGGGCAGAAAAGTCTTGTGAGACTCTTACCTCCACAAAACTACCAAAAAAAGCTGGAAGTGAAGCTGTGGCTCAAGTGGCAGAGCACTAGCCTTGAGCAAAAGAAGCTCAATGACAGGCCCCCAGGACCAGCCTCCCAGCGGGGAGAGGGGGAATATATCTCTATATCTACATCTATATATATTATATACACTCACACACATCAATCAAGAAGAAACTGTTTTACTGTCAGTGATGTTTTAGTATTTAATTTTGTTGTTTTATGGTTTTACCTCCATTTTTTTTTCTCTTTTTGGTACTAGAGTTTGAACTCAGGTCTTCCCACTCTTGCTCTAGGTCACAGCTACTGCTCTAGCACCATGCCTTGAGTCTGGCATTTTGTTGGTTGAATCTAGACTTGGAGATTTCTGTGCTGGAACTGGCTTCCAGCTTTTCAGCCTTCTGAGTAGCTAGGGATAGGCTTGAGCAACTGGTATCAGACCCCATTTTTTTTGTGGGGGGGTGGGAATAGAAGAGACTTAAAAGTCTTGCTTTGTAGTCCAGGTTGGCCTTGAAATTGTGTGCACCATTATGCTTAGCATCTTCAAATTCTTTATTACATAAATATGCCTGTGTGCAACCTATTTGTTTTTTAAAAATGTATTCTTTATTAAAACATATTGCCGAGCTGGGAAGGTACCTCAGTGGTAGAGCACTTGCCTTGCATGCCTAAGGCCCTGCGTTCGATTCCTTAGCACCACGTAAGCAAAAAGAAAAAAGCCGGAAGTGGCGCTGTGGCTCAAGTGGTAGAGCGCTAGTCTTGAGCTGAAAAGCTGAGGGACAGCGCCCAGGCCCAGAGTTCAGGCCCCACGACTGGACCCAAAAAAAAAAAAAAAAAAAAGATAAAACATTGCCTCCCTATCTCAAATGAAGGAAACGTAACAAAAACTTTTCAAATGTACAGAGCCACTGTTTATTAGAAAACTTGATAAAGGGCTGGAGTCATGGCTAAAGTGGTATAGAGTACCTCCTGCCTAGCAAGTACAAGACCCTGAGTTCAGATACCAGTAACATTTAAATTTAGAAAAGAAAGGTTTTTGGAAATGGAATTGTGGTTCAAAGTGGTAGAGCAGTAGCCTTGAACAAAACGCTCAGGGACAGCACTTAGACCCTGAATTCAAGCCCCGCAACCCTTAAAAAAAAAAAAAAAGGTTTTTATTTTTATGTAAAATAGAATGATAGTGATAATACTTGGAAATTAGCATAAGTTTTTATTTTTCCCAGTATTACTGGGGTTTGAACTTCAGCATACATGGCTGCTAGACATATACTCTAACACACACACACACACACACACACACACACACACACACACACACACACACACACACACACACACACACACACACACACACACACACACACACACACACACACACACACACACACACACACACACACACACACACACACACACACACACACACACACACACACACACACACACACCCTACCTTTTTGTATTTTATTTTTCCATGTAGATTTTGCATTATTACTTGGACCAGCCTGGACTGAGATCCTCCTGTTATGCTTCCTGTGTAGCTGGGATGATAGGTATAGGCTGTATGTCCAGTTTTTATTGATCAAGATAATTTTTCACAAACTTATTTGTCTGGATTGACAATCCTTATCTTTGCCTCTCAAAGATTATAGGTATGGGCTACTACGCCTGGCAGTTTACAGAAACTGCCAGTGTATTTAATTTTGTTTTATTGGTCTTTGGCTAAGAGAAGCAGTTTTAAAAATTAATAGTATTTTCCTTTTAACTCACCTACTTCATCCTTACAAACCTCAATGTTAGAGCTAAGCTCAGACAACTGCCAGTAAATTGAAAGAATCTCATTTGTACTTACTCTTGAGAATTTTCCCTATGTATAGTAGGAGAAAATTAGAAAAGAATAAAACTATTTGGATCTTATACTTTCTTCAGTTTCAGAAACATTTTTATGGTGTGATTTAGATTTGCTACTCTGTTTATACAAGAACATCCTTGACATCTGTCCTATCTTTTTTTTTCAAAATTTTTATTGTGATTAAGTGGTTACATAATGTCCCAAATTTTGCAGTATTGTGGGATAGTGATGCTCAGTTAAAGTCACAAACATATTCTAACTTTCCTGGAGCAAATTGTCTATCGTGATCTATAACAGTTATGAGTTATGTGATACAGTTATTTCTCCCACATTGTGTCCTATCTTTTAATAATGTTAAAATCCAAAGATTGACATATATGAAATTGGTAACACAAAAACAACTTTATTTAAATCATCATCTTTTACTTTTAATTCTGCTCATGAAATTGATCTATTTTTAAAACTTTTTTTTGCCACTCTGTTGGGAACTAAAGATTCCAAATATTTTCCTATATTAGTACATATGGATCTAAGGATTCTAAGCAACTGTATAACCCTATGTAAATAATATCTCTTCATTTTTCTGTAGATTATGGGAAAAGCCTCCTTTTAATTGTAGTACTATGTTAGTATATCTTAGAGATAAAGTAACCTGAGAATGCAGGCATGAGACAATTTATCATGTCTATACAGAAAAAAAGAAAAAAAAACATAGCAATCACACCCTCAAATTCTGTAAAGTAGGATGCTTTCATATTCCTAAAGTACTTTTCTTGTCTTTTCTCCTAATAGTGATCAGTGCTTAAAATAAAACACAGAATATTTCAATTGATGTAGTAACCTTTTTTTTCTCCCACTTTTCAGATCATAGTATGTAAGAGCCCTAGTAATCAGTCTGACTGACAGCTCTTATTTGCAACTTCCTTGGCTGGTTTTGGTAACATAAGTGAATATAGAACAGGCCCTTTCAGGATAAAAGACAGAGGTGCATTAAATGATCTTTGGATCCAAATGGGAAGCAGAAGATAGAGTTTTGTTGGTTCATATTCCAGTGGCTCTGCAGAATTCAGCAAAGGACTAGTGTTCAGGAACTATAGGGTCAGGAACTATAGGGCTTTTTTGTTGTTGTTATTGTTGTTTTGTGACAGTCCTGGGGCTTGAACTCAGTGCCTAGGCACTGTTCCCGAGCTTTTTTGCTCAAGGCTGATGCTCACTATTTGAGCCACAGCTCCACTTCCAATTTTTTTGGTGGTTAATTGGAGATAAAAGTCTCAAGGACTTTCCTGTTTGGGCTGGCTTTGAGCTGGGATTCTTAGATCTCAATCTCCTATGTAGCTAGGATTATAGATATCAGTGAGCCACTCACTGGTACCTGGAGACATTAATGGAATGCTTAGTTATATTTACATACTATCTCTTTCTCTTTATATATATATATATATATATATATTATATATTATATATATTATATATGTATATATCAAGATCAAAAGTACTGCAGAATTATAATTAATAAACAGCTAACTAGTTTTCTGCAGTACTAGTAATGGATCACATGTAAGTTCAATTCATACAGTTAAGTCAATGCGAGGTGTGTGTACCTTTTAATATTTCGAATAAATTGTGGATGGATGGTTCAAAAGTAAGTTTGGTATCCATGTAGACATTCTGCTATTTGGTATGGACTTTTGTCGTTAGGAGATACTTGGTTTTAGTTGTCTTATCTTTAAGTTACTATTTAATTTTGCTAGCTTTCCAAAACTCTATTTTAGGACAATTAGTAGTTTTCTTTTAGGCTAAAATAAATAATAAAACTTTATAATCTACTTAAAGCTATTTCTCTCTCTCTCTCTCTCTCTTCCCATTTTTTTTTTTTTTTTTGCCAGTCCTGGGCTTGAACTCAGGGCCTGGGCAGTGTCCATGAGCTTCTTTTGCTCAAGGCTAGCACTCTACCACTTGAGCCACAGCTCTACTTCTGGCTTTTTCTGTTTATGTGGTACTGAGGAATGAAAGCTAGGGCTTCATGCATGCTAGGCAAGCACTCTTCCACTAAGCCACATTCCCAGCCCTCTTTATTTTATTAAATTTTGCACTGTTGTACTTGATGACAATAATACCATGTTCTTCTTAAGATTATGAATTTACTCACTAAAATGTAATTTCTTATACTCTCTGAAGTTTTATGTTTCATTATTATGACATTGATTTTATTGCTTTGTGAAAAATAGAAGGAATTAAGTTTATCTGAATTTTTTCTGTCATTTTTTTTCAGGATACCTTTTTCTACTCATTGGTCTATGACCCTTCAGTGAAAACATTGTTAGCTGACAAAGGTGAAATCAGAGTGGGTCCGAGATATCAAGCAGATATCCCAGAAATGCTCTTAGAAGGTATGAGTTCCATTCCTGTGAAAACTGCTATTGAGTATTATCCTCATAGAGAAGAAGCAATTTTAGGATAGAGTTTTAAAGTAATGAGCCCTTTCAGTTTTAGAAACACAGCAAGTAGAAGTAGAAGGTAATTTACATGAACAATTATTCATTGTTGATTTCACATATATGAATTTTATGGCTATATTTTTAGTATAATTTTAAGATTGTTAGTATTGTTGAACTTGTGCTTTAATGTAATATGTTCATTTGTTGAGATTCTTGAATGCTTTTTTTGGGGGGGGGGGGCGGTCCGGTCCTGGGGCCTGAACTCTGGGCCTGGGCGCTGTCCCTCAGCTTTTCAGCTCAAGGCTAGCGCGCTACCACTTGAGCCATAGCACCACTTCCGGCTTTTTTTTTCTGCTTTTGTGGTGCTGAGGAATCGAACCCAGGGCCTCATGCATGCAAGGCAAGCGCTCTACCACTGAGCCACCTTCCCAGCCCTCTTGAATGTTTTTTAAGTCATCTAGCCCCAGTGGCCATGGAATCTTAATGAATAGTTATATTTTGGTGGGGATTTGGCTTTGCATTTTAAAAACAGATCTTCCTAGTGAGATTTCAGATGTCTTTCCATTTTCGTGACCATACATTAAAATCTATTTCCTGATTTTAAAAGTAAAGTGTTTTTACATTAAAAAAACAAAATAGCTGGGTGCTGGGGTGGCTAACGCCTGTAATCCTAGCTACTCAGGAGGCTAAGACTTGAGGATTGTGGTTTGAAGCCAGCCCAGGCAAAAAAGTCCCCATAAGACTTTTAGCTCCCTACAATAAACTACTTAAAAAGCAGGAAGTAGTGCTGTAGCTCAAGAGGTAGAGCACTGGCTTTGAGCGCACATAGGCTGAGGGACAGTTCCTAGGTCCTGAGTTCAAGCCCCAGGATGGGCAAACAAACCCAAAACATTAGCTAAGTTAAGTGGATTATGTCTGTAATCTTAGCATTGAAGAAGGAGGATTGCAAGTTTTAGGCAGACCTGAGCTATGTAGAAATACCCTGTCTCTTTTCCCCTTTCCCTAATTTTTAAAAAATATATTTTTAGTCAGAGACTGACTGTGAGGCTCAGGCTAGGTGGTAATTACTAGCCTAGCTATTTTCCTTTCTCAGCTCCTGAGTGCTGGGATGGTAGACATGTGCTACCATAGTGGAGTCCAGGGTGTTTTTTTGTTCACACAGAAAAAGCCCATGTGCAGTGTGATAAGTGCACATGTTATTCTGCAGCTGTTTTTTTTTGTTTTGTTTTGTTTTTAAGTCTTCTCAACAGTGTATCCTTAGCATCTTTAAGTAGAGTGACTTACCTCTCTCTGTTCAGTGACTGTATATATAGTTGTTATATTTACATAGATGACAGGCATGCATCACTGTATCCAACTTCCCTATGTTAAGATTCAGTCTTAAGAATTTTTCTACCTAGGCTGGCCTGGAAATACCAGCCTTTTATCTCTCAATCTTAGTCTCTTTAGTAGCTTAGGATGATAAGTGTGCCATCACTGTACCCAACAATGGGTTGGGAAGAAGTCTTGGCACACTTTTCTAACCTAGCTGGCCTTGGATTATGATCCTGCCATTCTCAGCTGCCCAATCCAAACTAAGATTATAGACATGAGGAAATGATTCTTGGCTATGCTTCCTGACTACCTGATCTGTGTAGATTCATTTGTTTTCTAGAAATAATGTTGGATGTTTGTACTCCTTAATGTTTCATGGTAGGATTTACAGTGTACCTAAGTGAGCATTAAATTACTTCATTAGGATCTATTCAACATGGAGGTGGAAGTCGATAAGCTGGAACTCATGAAAACTCTTAGTTATACTTTTAAGGAATTGACAGCCTTAAAGTCTTGATATCAAACCTTGTATGCATGTTTTAAGCCAGTCGTTGAGCAGAAAGAGACTAAGAGCTGCATTTGTACTATTTTGAATAAGACCATAACCATGATACAAGAACTACAAAGGCATAAAGACATGGAATTGTCACCATTGACTGAAGAAAAGAAAACTGTGACAGAACAATTAAAACCTCACATGCCAGATTTTTGATGAAACAAAATTTTAAAAGAGAACTCTAATGAAGAAGATACAATCCCACAGCAAGATGACAACTAGAGGTGGGGTATTAGTAAAGGAGTAGAAATTTGGCTTGAGTGACAGGAAAGTTTCATAGTAAGAGGGGAGTATAAGAAAGGCATATAGTATATGAATGAATTTCAGCCAAAAGGATTGAATGGGGAAAAATATAAATGTAAACACACATCCATATGCACAGTTTTTAATTTCAGGAATTAAGGAAGTTCTGTAATACTATTTTCCATCTTTTTTTTTTTTTACTCCTCATTGAGCTCTTTTACTCAAGTCTAGCACTTTTCTACTTTGAGCCACATTGCCACTTCCGTTTTCTGGTATTAATTGGAGATAAGAGTCTCACAGACTTTCCTGCCTAGGCTGGCTTTGAGTTTCAATTCTCAAATCTCTGCCTTCTTAGTAGCTAGGATTATAGGAGTGAGTCACCAGTGCCCTGCTTGTTTTCTTTTATATAGCTGGGAAAAAGATATTCAGGGTGATATAATGTTTAAGTACATTTCACTCAATGTGTAAACATGGTTTAAATAATAAAGGATAGGCAAAATATTTGTATTATACATATATATGTATAATTTTATCTGTGAAAGTGCTGATTGTAGATGGGACCACATTATTGTAACCACTCATAATCCAGTTAATATAATAAATTGGCTTTTGTGTGATAGAAAAAAAATTACTTCATTAAAGAACATTTGGTTCTAAAGTTTTAGAAATAGTGTTTTAGTAAATATCCTCTTTCTAAAATAAATTTATTTTATTGAAAAAGTGATGAGCAGGCGGTTATATAATGGATTAATTGCACATTCTCCAGATAAATTGGAGCATAGAGCATGTGTGTTTTAAGTTTATTTTTTTTAATTTTTATTTTTTATTGTAAAGATACTATACAGAGGGTTACAGTTACATGAGTAAGGTAATGAGTACACTTCCTATTGAGCATTGTTACCCCCTCCATTGTTTTCCCCCTACCATCCCTTCCCTCCCTATCTTCCCGAGGTTCTTTTTTTTTTTTTGATGTGATTAAGTGATTACATAATTTCCAGAATTTCACAGTATTGTGGAATAATGATGCTCATTTAAAGTCACAAGTTCATTCTAACTTTCCTGGAGCAAATAGTCTATCACAGTCTGTGTTTTAAGTTTAAAGATGCCAAATTGTCTTCTAAGAGGTCATATCTTTTTGAAATAGTCTGTGTGGTTCAAGCTGACTATAAACTCATGCTCCTCCTGTCTCCCCCTCTCAAATGCTGGTATTATAGTTGTACACCACTATGTTTGGCTCTAGGTGTTTTTTTTTTTGGTGCCAGAACTAGGGCTTGAATTCAGGGCCTAGCCACTGTCCCTTAATTGTATCACTCAAGGCTGGTGCGATACCACTTGAACCACAGCTCCACTTCCACCTTTTTTTGGTGGTTGATTAAAGATGAGAGTCTCATGGACTACTGCCTGGGCTGGCTTTGAGCCATGATCTTCAGATCTCAGCTTCCTGAGTAGCTAGGATTCCATAGTACATGCGTTGTGTCTTTGGCACGCCTGGCTCAAGTTGTCTTTTGTATGTGTGTATTTTCTTTATTTTAACTAATAATTTCTTTCTTTTTTTGGGGGGGGGGGTTCGTCTGGTCGTGGGGCCTGAACTCTGGGCCTGGGCGCTGTCCCTCAGCTCTTCAGCTCAAGGCTAGCACTCTACCACTTGAGCCACAGTGTCACTTCTGGCTATTTTCTTTTTGCCTATGTGGTGCTGAGGAATCGAACCCAGGGCCTCAGGCATGCAAGGCAAGCGCTCTACCACTGAGCTACCTTCCCAGCCCCTTAACTAATAATTTCTGTGCAACAAACTTTGCCTTGTTAGTATACAATTTTGTAGGTTTTAACCAATATAACTTTGAGAAAAATGAGGGTTTTTTGGTTTGTTTTTGTCAGTCATGGGGCTTGAATTCTGGGCCTAAGCGCTTTCCCTCAGCTCTTCTAGCACTCTACTCCTTGAGCTGCAGCACTACTTCTGGTTTTCTTGTAGTTTATTGGAGATAAGAGTTTCATGGCTTGGGGCTGGGAAGGTGGCTCAGTAGTAGAGCGCTTGCCTTGCATGCATGAGGCCCTGGATTCAATTCTTCAGCACCACATAAGCAGAAAAAAAAAAGCCGGAAGTGGCGCTGTGGTTCAAGTGGTAGGTAGAGCGTTAGCCTTGACCTGAAGAGCTGAGGGACAGCGCCCAGGCCCAGAGTTCAGGCTCACAACCGGACCCCTCCCCCCCCCCCCCCCAAAAAAAAAAAAAGAGTTTCATGGCTTTTCCTGCCTGGGCTGACTTTAAACTGTGATTCTCAGATCTCAGCCTCCTGAGTAGCTAGGATTACAGGTGTGAGCCATTGGCGCCTGGCAAAAAATGAGTTTTTGACTAATAAGTTAGATCATCATAATCCATCTGTATGATGTGTGCACAGACAGACATCCAACTTCATTTCTGCATTCCCTAAAATGCCTTTCATTATTCTTGGGAAGAGTAATGTGGTCTCTTATGCTATTCAGAGTTCAGTGTTGTCTCTAATCATTCAACTTTTGTATTTGTGAATTACATTATACTGACCATGTATCCCACTCCTGAGTGCTGAGCATAAGCCTAGTCTATGTACCATATGGTAACTTTACAGATTTTTACTTACCAAATGATGATGTGAATAATGATGTTGGCATATTTCAAGTAACAGTGAGAAAAAAGAAAAGTAAGATAACATAGTTATACAAGGTTCTGTTTATTTGAAAAACTATTTAAATATGGTTTGCTGCTGAAAAGTGTAGAAGTTAGGGGCATAATTTTGAAAGCACAAATACCTGTCTTGGGATTATTAAAAATAATTCTAGGAAACAAAATAATACACAAAACACAATA